TTTACGTTACACCTGATCTTGAAATTTGATTGGCCAAAATTCACGGGTGGGGAAAATTTTTGTGGGTGCGCTAGGGGGGTTAGTTAGAATCGTCCAAAGCCAGGTTGTAATTTATACTCGTCACGTGATTTTAATTTACAAATTTGTTAGCGTTAGTAATCAATTTAAAAAACTACCTGGCTTTAGACGACCTCAGAAGTAAGGAGACAGATTTCTTCTATCTGCACAGCTAATGTTTTTAATCAAATGAGGTTTATTTGAATTTGTTAGAATATTACAGGACTGGGAAATTTCTATTATTAGATCCTCTCTACAGTATTCGAATAAGTGCTTGTAGTCGATTTTACATTAGTCGATAAAATCGGCTTAGCTGGCTTAGTCAGCTGATTTTTCAAAAAATTGACTTAGTCGATTTATATGGATTATATTAAAAATTTTGGCCGGTTTATAGTTAGTCCTTAGGTCTAAAGACCAAGTCCAAATTTAAGGACTTAGGGTCCTTAGGTCTTTAAAAGTCCTAATATACAAATTTATAATAGTTTAAAATGAAATTATACAGTAATTTATTAAAAATAATTTTCAACTGCTATTGCATAATTCTGGACAGCCTAATCAATATCGATATATCATATACTGTAATTTCAATAAAGTTTTAAATGCATAGTTTAAGATCATAATCATTTATTTAATGTACAGTATACAATTCACATAATATTGTTATTACACATTCTAATAGGTAAATGTCAATATGTACATTGTGAAGGGGTAACGTGAACTAGCCGTAGCAAAAAAAGTGATCTAAGCCATAAGACTCGAAACATTAATGCGCATTTAATAAATGCCAATTCGGGTTTGGCTTGAGGCGAAGCTCCATTGAAGAACAATAGTAAGGCGCCTCTATGGTGTCATGGTCATGTAAATGAGTATGAATTACTCATCATTAGTCCCCTGATACTCTAAATAGTCATATTGCTTAGAGATTCAAACAAAGCCTATAATGTATAAATAACCATCGATTTTCATGTATCTGAAAACGGTATAATAATAAAGCCATCTAATGATAAACTCCGAGGATCCTAGTAGCAGTAGAATCCTTGGTTCTCGGACCAAATCTTTATGCCTTCTTTCGAGTAGCCTTCGGCTTTTGTTGTGTCTTCGGTTGCGAGTACTAGTCATCCAAATCTGCCTTTTTACAACTTATTGCGGACTTAGGTTCTAGAACTAAGTCTTGGACTGGACCTAAGTCCTAAAACTGGACTTGGTCCATAAGTCCATGCAGTAAAACCTACAGATTATGAAACCAGAACTGGACCTGGACTGGACTACCATCCCTATTTATAGTAGAGTCCGAAAATTTCTGAAAAGAAAATCAATGAACATAAAATATGAGCAAGGTTGGACAAAAAATTTGAGGAAATATCCGAGAACTTCCGAAGTTTAATCAAATAGAATTTAGAATAATTGACTCTAACTTAGCCGGCTAAGCCGATTTTTAAATATCGACTTAGTCAAGTCGATAAATAATGGTCGACTACAAGCACTAATTCGAATACTGTACTACATAAATTTGGAACTTATATATTCGAATTATAAAGTTTTGTGAAGTCATCGGTTTTATATGGTTCACAGAAAAAAGGTCATCACTCTAGGTTAGATTTGCATGTATAATATTAAAAATCAAGCACGAGTCCGAAATATCCCGAATAGAAAATCAATGAACGTAAAAATACGCGTCACAAAATGATTCGCATTACTATTAATTTCTTAAAGATATCCGTTAAACTGATTCGCTTAATTAGCAAGAATCTTATTAAAATCTTATGACTCCGATAAATATTTATTTTGATCGTTTAAAATTCTCATAGATTATTAATACTTTCATCACGTGGCTCAATGATTGCACATTGTCTTCTTTCTATCGTTTTTTTGTATAATACTTAATCTCGAGTATCCGAATAGGTCCCATATATTTAAAAAATTGATCTTTAGCGTGTCGGCGAAATCTTTCCTGTCCCGTGAACATTGCATTACACTAATTACGCTATATCAGTACACGTTTCTACTCTTCATTGCTAAGCTAAAATTAATGTTATTCTAGTGTAGTAAAGATTTTTTAAGGCAAGGGCAAAGATTTCCCGGTCATGTTTAAACTGAATAATTTCGACTAATCGGATAAAATTTTTTACTCTAATATATTTGAATAAACTTACTAATCGAATAAAGATTTAGCATTCAGTTAATCAGACAATAAGATCTAAAATTTTCTTGGATAATTAAAGTTTTATTAAATTAAAATTTAAAGTGAAAATTTTTAATAATCAGACTTTATTTTTATGACGATAACGATAATACATGGAAAGATAAATTTTAATCTATTATTATTACTTTATATTTAATTTAGCAAATCATTTTTAAAATTGGCTTTTTCCTCGTCATATTCTTAATTTTCTTTACTACACTAAATTCTAACTCTTGTTCACTCAAACATTTCCATTTAATATTTCCAGTGAAATTTTCGATTTGACCCAATTTTTACATTTTGATTGGCTCTAAGTCTTTTTAAAATAAAATATTGTCACAAATATAGCATTTGATTACAATTAGGACATTAGATATTGGACAAATTTCCATCGTCCAAACCCTATTCACACCAACCCTGATCACTAAAATATAAAGAAGTCAGTGTAATTTTCTTGTAAAGTACTTCTACTAACATTTTCTTTCCTCAGAATAAAGTTGAATACTATAAGGGCCCATATGAATCCTAGTTGTGTTCTTGTCTGCTAATGCTATCACACTCTTATCACCGATAAGATTTAACGAAGTCAGAGTGCTATTCTTGTAAAGTGCTTTTGCTAACGTTTTTCCTTCTTCAGAATCAAGTTGGTTATAATTAAGATATAAAGAAGTCAAAGTATTGTTCTTGCAAAGAGCTTCAGCTAACGCTTTCCCACCTTCAGAACCGAATTTATTAAAACTAAGGTCTAAAGAAGTCAGTATAGTGTTCTTGCAAAGAGTTTCTGCGAACGCTTTTCCACCCTCATAACCCAAGATCTAAAGAAGTCAGAGTAGTGTTCTTGTAAAGAACTTCCGCTAGCGCTTTCCCACCTTCAGAACCAAGTCGATTATACTGTATTTAGATATAAAGAAATCGGAGTAGTGTTCTCGTAAAGAGCTTTTGATAACGCTTTACCACCCTCAAAATCAAGTCTATTATGACTAAGATTTAAGTCAGAGTAGTATTCTTGCAAAGAGCTTCTGCAACGCTTTTCCACCCTCAGAATCAAGATGATTACCACTAATACATAAAGAAGTAGCGTTCATGCAAAAAGCTTCTGCTAACGCTTTCCCACTCTCAGAACCAAGTCTATTAAAATTAAGATATAAAGAAGTCAGGGTATCGTTCTTGTGAAGGGCTTCTGCTAACGCTTTCCCACCCTCAGAATCAAGTCTATTAAATTAAAATATAAAGAAGTCAGGATATCGTTCTTACAAAGAGCTTTCGCTAACGCTTTTCCACCCTCAGAACCGAGCTGATTGCCACTAAGACTTAAAGAAGTCAGAGTAATGTTCTCGTAAAGTGCTTGTTTTTTCGCCTTCGTGACCAATATCATTGTTGCTAAGATCTAAAGAAATCAGTGTAGTGTTTTTATAAAGAACATCAGACACAATTTTGCCTCCTTCAGAATCAATTTCATTTTTGCCAGGATTAAAGAAGTCAGAATAGTATTCTTGTAAAGGATCTTTACCGATATATCTGTTGCCTTAGATTTAGGATCACCATGAATAACATATTTCATAGAGATAATGGTAGTGCTTTTAAAAAATTATTTCATTACAAATGGTCCCCTCGGGGCTTAAAAGTTTAAAATTCCTACATGTTCGTAAGAGCATTGTAATCAAAGAACATTTAATTGCATATTCAAGCTTAGATCCATATCTATTATGAAAAAACAAATTTCCGTTTCCATTATATAAATCAGAGTTAATGGATGCAATATAACTTGTACCGTATAAACGCGTAATAATGCGCAGGGACACGCATGCGCGATAATTCGAGTCATTATGCTAATTTTTGAAAAAAAATTTCAGCTACTAAAAAATTAATAATTTACTTGTTAAAATCTTTGGCTAAATTACCCTTTGGAATTTTTGCATTGCAATGTCTTGCAAAAAATAACCAATAAACCCGAGTTTTACTAGCCGGTAGCTAGTTTGTCACGTTCTGAAATTTATTTATTCGAATTTGAAATACTTCAAATTCATCTATTTCGAAGTCGCCAACTGAATCTATGATTAGGTCTTGATAATTTCCTTTTACACCTGACCACTTTCCACGTACAAAATCATCGGAGATCAAAGAAAGATCATACCACCAAAAGATGGGCATTACTTCCACCATAAAAAATCGCTTTTCTTGGTTTAATAACTCTACTAAATTTAGAATTTCCTCCCTTCTTTAAAGAAAAAATGAAACTTTCAGTTGTTTTTATAAATCTGCTAAATCTTTGTTTTCCCCATTCAAGAGGATTATATCCACCAAGAATTTCGTCCGTTCCTTTAACCTTCAAACTATAACTGTCTTAGATTTCTTGTTACATTCTTTATAAAATCCCTTAATTAATCTATCACTGGTATACTGGAAAATCCTTTTAAATTCATATGGAATATTGTTCACATCAAATGGTTTAAAATCAATCCGTGAAGCAATTTCTACAGCATGTTCTAAGCTTAAAAATAATTGACTGTCTTCAGTCTCTTTAATTACTAAGGAACTGTCTCCAGTCACTTTAATTACTAGGTAACTGTCTCCAGTCTCTTTAATTACTAAGGAACTGTCTCCAGTCTCTTTAATTACTAAGGAACTGTCTCCAGTCTATTTAATTACTAAGGAACTGTTTCCAATCTTTTTAATATCTAAGGAAATTTCATTCAATTGACTTAATACAAGAGTTAATTTTGGTCTTTCATCTGGATTTTTATCCCAATATTTTTTATAAAGACGAGTGTATTCAGGGGGCGTATTTTTCTACAGGGCTTTCTCTATTCCCATTTATTATCTCATCCACAATTTCAGCAGTTTCACGTCCATCAAATGGTGGTTTCCCGCCAGAAATTTCCCGAAGAATTACTCCAAAACTATAGATGTCAGATTTTTCATTATGTTAACGTACCTAGTATCACCACCAAAATCATGTACGTACGTACGTAATCGGTTTTTAAATTTCAATCTAAGCACAATAATAACAGAATCACAAGATTTCCGAAAAATTAATTGAATATATATTTTTTTTTTTTATTCAAATTATTTATTAGAATTTACTTGATTACCACTGTAAACTCTAAGTCGAATTACATTCAATTCAACCATTTAAGTGCGTTTATATCAAATACAGATTTTTTAATACACGTATAAAACTTTAGATGCTATCAGTAAATGTGTTTTGTTACGATCGCTCCAAGTTTTGGAATTTTTTTTGCTTGTTCGAAACCTTTAATGTCATCCACCATTTCTTGGATAGGTTTAAAGTTCGATTCAATGCTTCGAAGCCTTTTTTTTTTGTTTGGAAAGATTATTAGATTTTCAAAGCAATCAAGTGCCTAAAACATAATAAAACAGCGATAATAAAAAAAATTCTTTTATATCTCATGAAGAGTTTTTTTGTGCATTTTTAATATTTTAGATTTGGATTCACTATCTTCAGTACTCAATTCCTCAATAATGGTCCTTTCGCAGTCATAATGTTCGATTTTTGGTTCTCCATTATGTTGTTTACTTTTATATCATTGTTTTTTTCATTCGTTTTTCGAGCTCACAGCTAGAGGTGGGATCCGTGAATATCTACGATTAAAAATGAATATTCATTAAAAACGAATGTTCTGTTACATAAATTCGTGTATATTCAATAAATATTAATTACACAAAATTTGTGAATATTCATTGTGAATAAATAATCTAATCTATTTGATCATTTTGTGTATCCGTGTAAAATCAGATATTCGTTCAATATTACTCATGGATGCCCAAAAACCATGAATAGCTATAATGGATATTCAAAATATTCCATCTCTATTCACAGCGACAATAGGTAAATGAAGTAGTCTTGATTTGTTTATTATCATATTTTTATGTAGTGCTTGGATCCGCGGATATCCGACTATCCGTTAGCTCAATCCAGTGGATTTTTACATCCGATCATAAACTATCC